TTTATACGGGTTACAGTTATAATTTTTGTGGAAAAAATTACATAGTCTTAATAAGCGATAGCCCACGAAAAATATTTTATCTAGTGACTGCCTCGTAAAGCAACGTGAATACACTCCTTTTAAAGGGAGTAGTGACAATGAAATATGATGCGAAATAGGAATCCAACTGAGCTTGCGCACACTTAGGTACACTTACAATATAATCCTGTCCTGTGCAGATGGCTAGTCTCCGTTAAGACCGGCCGCCGTGACCGAAATTCGGTTGGAGGACATCTACACCGACAGTTCAAAAAATTCGAAGGCAAAGGCTTCATCAGTAGTCTGCTGGGCCGCTTCCAGTGCGTGTTGAGGAACTTGGCGAACTTTACATAACTTCGTAATATTTAAAGGGTTTTAAGGGGTTTTATATTTCAGGTTTAACATATGTTCGATGGTGAAGGAAGACATCGTTAGAAAACGTGCAGGTCTATGAAATAAATAAATTAAAACTATTTCAAATACATGTGAAGTCCGCCAACAAGCATTGGGGCAGGGCGACGGACACTTCTTTGCCCCAAGGAGGCCTGTGGCCAGCAGTGAGACGTATGTATGCTGTAACTTTAACATGCAGGTTTAGACAATCACCGCCTTATTCAATCACCGCCGAGCACATGAAAAATCTCCGCATAAAACTGTAACTGATACAGTAATTGGTGTCTGCAGGAATCAATTCCAGGTAGCTCTTAAATTAATTACCTACCTTAAATGAAAAAAAACCAACAAAATCGATTTATGTTGCATTAAATTTCATTTATTTCCATTACTGGCACTAAGAACATAAGAACAAAAAGAATATGTTAAAACACTATTGATTGTACACATAGCACGTGCACGTGACGTGAAAATTTAAGTCGCACGGGAACTTAATTCAGGTTAAATGTTGGGAATATTGATTGCAACATGGAAGTTCGTTCCCTGAACTCAAAGGTGTATTGACATTCTGTTAGTAGTTTTTTTTTATATTTAGAGAAATACAATAAAAATATATCAGTACAGTAGCCAACTGATCCTATATCGAAAATTACTTATAGGGTCAAATGGCTACATAGTCCACAGTATATGTAGGTATTATAGTAAATTTAAGTATAGTATATGTAAACACAGTAAAACAGAAGTGATATATGATCTAACAGTCCACTTTTGTCAAGTGGCAATTTCAGCCTTCCTCCTGTGGAGATACGACAAAGGTTTCCTTTGATTGTCTCATTGGTCTAGTGGTCGTCAACGTGGTTGCTGATCATGAGTTCCCGGATATCAACCCCGGGTTGTGTTTTTTTTGTTTTTCTGTCCAGAAACTCTCAGTAGCGGCCCGGAGTCCGGAAGTTGGCGGTGAAAAGTACGTAAAGCATGTAAGTCTTGCACCTGATATCTCCGGTCGTATATACATTTATTACTAACTATGCATAAAACATGCCACAGATGCGTTATCACCTCTGAAGACCAGCATGGAATGACTCACAGCCTATAACTATTATGGCTCTCTATACTCTTCAGAATGTACCACAGTAGTGCCAGCAGTGACGTGGTAGAGCCACGCTGCAGCTATATTATGGTTGTAGCATGAATGGGTCGGCTCGACCGGGTAAGGACCACGGTCTCATAGAATACCAGCTTAAAATAGCAGCTTAATGCAGCTGTGTCTCGTATGGTGAGTGTAGAGAACCGGAGACCCGTTTTACTGGAAACGAGGCATTCCAACTTATTCCGATTCGAAGTAAAATGTAGATGTCTATGGGCCGCTGCATCCATTTACCATCAGGTGGACTGTGTACTGGTTTGTCACCCTTTACCTATAAAAAAATTGCTATTTGATGACGGAAACAGGTAAGAAGGTGAGATGACACACAGACGGACACCTAGGCAAAAATGAGTCCTATCACCTAGAATATTACATTGTTTTATTTATTTTCAAATTATACATGTATATACAAAGAAAGAAATATTTTACATATTTTACGTACAAGATACTTTGAAAATTGGGGGAGAGAAGTAGGTGAGACATTTATAGGTCAAGCGGCCCCGGGCTGCAAAATTCCAAGCCTCGCACTGCATCCAAACTTAAATCTTTTATAAATAATTAATTGTGAAACACATTTATCTAAGAATACATTGGATTGACTTTATGTGTCGTCGCACTCCCTTGGTTAGTCTTAAGGGGAAATATAATGTCAAATGGCTTAGCAAGATCCTTCGTTATGCCGAAAATATTGCAGCATTAATTTTGAAATAAATATATGGTAAAATTGAGGATTAAAGTTAGATTGTGATTATGTTAGACGAAAACACGATTTCGTTACATTTTCTTGATAGAAAAAAATCCAAAGTTACCTCCAAAATAAACAATAAACCGCTGTTATTCATAAAATACTTTAAATAAGATCATGAAACTTTACATACTAACTGAACTAACTATAAAGCAGTGCTTATGTTATTTACTTTTTTTAAAATACCATTATTTTCACCGTAAAAAGAAATTACCTAAACTATCGGCCTTTTGAAGCGTGATTGCTGCCGCACGGTCACTTCGCTTCGGCCTTTGAACGGGGAGGTTGTGTCGCTTACGATCAGAATATACATTACGCAACAGGACGACGTAAAATTAAAATGGGAAATAACCGTAATAAAAATAAGAAGCGACTGGCTTGGCGTTAAGAAACAGGCATAAATATAATAAACCTAATGAAATAAGTGTCTAACGACCTTTCTACTTACAGTATTAATGATTACAAACATGTCGGTACATAGCATACGACTCGCGGGCAAGTGGAGACGAAATTAGAATTTGAGCTGACTTACTCTATCCCCTTAAGTGAAGTAAAGAAAAATTACAAATTCCATAAAAAAGGCTTCTTTGTCGCTCAAAAACTTTTAAACACTAAAATTAGCAATCACTACAATAACCAACATACAAAAATAATACAATCCTACTCAGTGTACAAGCGTCAGCTTTAGGACATGCTGGTTGTTTTTATATACACTTTCTGAATTCCAGTCACGAAGAATTACGTTGCTTTCTTTTTAAATTCAAATGACACAGATTATACTAACGTAGTAAGCAAAACCGCGTCAGATTGTGTCAAGGTTTGTGTTTTCGACAGAATTTTTGTACTATGTTACGGTATCCACGTCGGTACTTAGTTTCTTGCTATAAATATGTAATATGTGTTTTCTTTATTGTCATTAAACAGGACTTTTGCTGCTAGCAGAATATAACTCTCATCAAAAAATTCGCGTGGCTTAGCAGTTAGATTGCCCAAAAACAAGTTAATGGTCCTTAGTTCAAATTTCAACGAGAAAGTCTTCTTGGTTCATTTAACTATGTTAACCCTTTCACCTAATTATGATTGTATTACAGTAGCTAATGAATTAACACACTTTTCCTCCTGTTCAGCATCGGCCAAGACTAGTAAATTTGTCTTTACTTTTTAGTACTCATTATCATCATAAACCTTCACGAGTCTACTACTGAATGTAGGACCGTTAAGATAACATAGCAATAACCATTAAAAAATTTACACCCTCACACACTATTAAAAAGTTGATTACATATAGTATAGAACATTTGATAACTACGTAAACCTTTGAAACTGCAATCAGCAGTATTGATAATTAAAATAAACAGTCGGAATGATTTCGCTAAGAAATAATCAGACAAGGCACATGATGAAGGTTTTCAAACTAAGTAGTTGGACAATAAGTAAATTGTATATTTCTCAAAGTATTTTTCTTGTTTTAATCGAAATTCTCATAGTACTACCACCGAGCAAACAACATTTTCAAGGCGTAATATATTTCTCATATTTTTTTCTCGTGACTTTTTTATATTGATAAGGTTAATGATTCTAGCCTCCGCCAGCAATCAGCTTCAAATATAAAAAGTTATAGAAGTGTTGTCACTTTGAAAAGCTACAAAGAAATACCCCACAGCCTGTAATTTTATCCACTTAAAACAATGAAGCTAAGTTTCCATTTTAATAAAATTAATTTTATAGATTTTATCGCGTTTAATTCAAGTTTTTTTCTTTCTTATAATCTAATTGCTTGCTTATAAGTTCATCTTGTTGAATGTTATTCTTGTTACTGGTGCTTCCTCACCGTCAGTTTCTGCTACTTTTTAACAACAATGTGATTTTCAGTTTGAGTAAAATAAACGCAACCACTTTTTTCATAGGCTGTTTAAGGCATTCTGTCTTAAACCTTCAAAATTGGTTTATGTATGCAACTTACGAATTCCACTAGACTTACTGTTAAATCTTATATTACTCTGATGTTAAAAAAATATATTTCCCATAAATATCTATGTAGACATATGATTAAATAGCAGCAGGTTTCCGCAAAATTAATGTTTTTTTTTATTTCAGCTTTCTGAAATGTGTATTTCAGCAAATAATTGTAATCACACAGACATTCCAGAGTGTGGGAGGGAAAAGAACGATTTTAACAAAAGAATGTTTCTAGATGAGTGTGACATGATAGAATATAACTGTGACAACAATAAAGGTATTATAACCATGGAATTTACTAAAAATGAGGTTGATACGACTGTGTTGAGTATGACAACATCTGGGATCAAAGAACAAAAATTGTTTTACTATGTGCTGTGTTTCCTTTTGTCAGAATTTTATAGTCGATGCTTTTAACTATAGGGATATCAGAACCAGCTAATTATGGTATTAACAGTAACAAAACCTTTTTATTATTTGGCATGTGGTGTGGAACGTTGCCACGTCAATAACCATTTTTTTATTTAATTTAATTGCAATCAATTTTTGGGACATTAGAATAACTAGAAAAGATTCTTATATTTACCAATAAAAGGCCATGTTGTCAGAGATTAAAACCAGGTATAATGAGGCCGCCAAGAGTGTAATTTAAATGTTAATACATATCTATGCTATAATATATCTTTTAATAGTCTCTTATTACTCAATAAATATATTTCTATTACAGACTATATTAAAATGCCTTATGAGGAGTGCGGTGTGTCTTCTACAACCGACCACAAATACATTAAAGACACTAAATCACCTCATTCAAAAGAAGACACCGAAACACTTAAAACTAATAATACATTACCGGCATCACTAAATATAATTACTTCACCGTCTTTGAAAGACATATTTACAGAAGGTTTTAATTCAACGAATGAAATCTTGACACGTACAGAAGCTACAATGGTAAAAATTTATCCAAATTTATCCACCGTAATTATTTCGAATCTGCTTACAACCAGTATATCAGAAAAAATGTCAGAAAAATCTAATTTCACCACAAGTATTATTCCCATGAATAAAACAGTTACACTTCCGTCGACTTTGGTCACTTCTGAATTGAAGGTTAATGAATCATGGACATCCAAAAGTAACGACGAGGCTTCAATTAACATTTCCCATTCCCATTTTGTAAGTCCTGTGATTCCTATACGTAGAAACTGCACCCGAAAGAAAAATAACACTTATAGTTGGTCACTACCATCTACCGCTGCTTATAATAATATGTCATATTCTAGCCACGCTACTCAAGAAAAAGTGAATAAAACGAATTCAAAGTCATTTTTGTCAACAATTACATCAAATGTTGACTCCGTATTTACGCCCAGTGTATTAAAATTAAGTACGAGTAAAATAAATTTACCTCATACTAAGGACACTTTTAACACAGTAACTGAAATTTCTCTTGAAACTAACGCATCTATTTTTAATTTAAGCAAGGTTAATAATACAAGTAAACCCTCATTCATAAATTTGCAAACAATAAAAAATACTCAAACAAATACAGAAGCCCCGAGTATACCAAACACAGCGGAAAAAAATACAATTACATTTAACACAACGACAAATGCAAAACTTGCGTCGTTCAAAGCTACGACAAAAATGGAAACAGAGTATAATATAACTAAAAGCTTAAAAACCGTAAAAACCTCACCTCAAACACCTTGTGCTACTAATACTTATCCTAAAAACTGCAATAGGCCTTTTACTTGGGAAACTACTCTTAAAGGCGAAAGAAGAGATATGTTTCAGATATTGAGGGCAAACTTCGGTGACAAAATTAAAACATTAAATGGCTACAACTCATTGGCCTAAAAGCTTAAATTATTTTAACAGCATCAATTACAATTTTTTCATTGGTCGTCACAATGAAAGCTGATTGATGTAACTTTAAAATATATTTCTATGACATAATTTTTATTGAGTGTTTTTATGGATTAAATCGCAAACTTTAACATGAATTTGGACTGAATATTTTTATAATTATTTATATGTTAGTCACACAGATATTTTTTGAAATATTATGTGTGAGTTGTGTGTAAGCGTGTTAATTGATATTGCGTAATATTCAGAGAGCCTTGACTATTTGCCAAGCAACGCGGAACATAGTGCCGTCAATAGTGCATAGTAAAATGCACTAACCCAGGGGTCGGCAACCTTTTGAGTCGGAAGAGTCAAAATTACAATTTAAAAATTTTCAAAGTATTTAAAGAGCCACAAAATTTTTTCTTGCCAAGCATAATAGTACTTGCATAAATAAATTATTTTGAAAAAAAAAGAAATATATACATTCAAGAACTTCCGAGCTTTCGACGGACTTACGACAGTGAAGATGCTTGTCACCGGGGAGGGGTGCGGTGAAAAGCGAGTACAAGTGGCTGAGAGATAGAAACGGTGCCTAATACCTACTTGTTAATCGATTCAGAACGATTTTAAATATTTTATTTTATAAAATAAATAATATTTGCGTAAGGAACTAAAGAGCCGCAGCTTCACATCCAAAGAGCCGCATGTGACTCTCGAGCCGCAGGTTGCCGACCCCTGATCTAGTGTAATATATAAATCAATGGAAGTAAAGCTCGACCGCATGAAAGGCTACGTTTCACAACTACATTGCACCGAATATTCGACTCTATATCATTATAATAAGAACTGGTAGAGTCAGAGGAGGTGCAAACACACGTATGTCAAAATTCGTCCCATTGTTGATAAAAACCTTCATAGCATGCGTGTGACGACACCGAAGATCAAACGTGGATCATTACCAGTAACGTTCATAACTGAATTATATCAACTGATCAAGATTTATGGTTTTAGAATGTCCCATTGAAGTCTTTATTCATAAATTAAATGAAGGTTTAAGTCAGTCTAGATGTTTGGAGAAAATATATACTAATTTACTAATCAGTCTCAAAAAAACTTAAAATTATGGTATCTTTATTATATCTGATGGTAAAGAAGCTACTGCAACCCCATGAACAACTATTACTAGTTGATTGTGAAAAATAATTCATATTTTACACAAATATTTACAAAATCCGTAGTTGTTAAGAGCTGAGGCAGCAATTAGAAATTTAATATAAATCAATATATAAGATCCTTCAGACAGAATTTTGGTCACAATGCCCAGTTTCATTTTAACAGAGTCTAGCCATCTGCGCAGGACAGGTTTATAGTACTCAAGTGTGTGCGCAAGCACACATGCACTCACTGTTTCCTAACTCACGTGCCAATCCGACACGACCTGACAGTGAGAGAGATCAGGCACAATTTCGTTGACAGGAAAACTCTAACTAAAACTCGACGTGAGATAGTTCAGATTAAAATGCTTAACTTTATATTATTTTATTTTTAATGAGTTTGTAAGTAAAACTTATGGGTCATCACTTAACCAATACCACTTTTGCCTTTTAAAAGGCCTTTCTAAGTTCGTAACACATTTGTCTTTAAGAAATTGCATAACCAAAATATAAAAGCATATTGAAATCATAAAATAATTCGTTCGTTAGTTAATACACATCTCTATAAAAAAGTCTTAAGAGAATATATTTTGATAGAAGGGGCAGGGATAAACTGATGAAAATAATAAACTTAAAAAAATTGAGTGGGTTTTAAGATCAGAAACCAATAAGTTCTTATGTAGTGTACGTCTTATTCAATGTAATTTTATAGTATATAAAATGAACATATTTATTGAAGCACTGATTTTATTTATAGTTGCCGCAAAAAAGTTGATTCGAAAATCTCATTAGATATAAATGTTGGAATAAACGATAACGATGTTACAATAACATATTCTGGTTTCGGAGTCGACGTTATTGGTCATCGGGATATTGAATTATTTAATATTGGAAACGCTAATATAAGGAAGGCTGTAACGAAAAACTACCATTGGTCTCCCAGCAATGTTTACTTAAAAAGTCTGACACCCTGGTAAGATTTGTTCCTAAAATATAACTGGGAACAGGTATCGCGAGTTTTGACTGTCAAATCAGCAAGATTAAAGACAATAACGAATAAACCTGTAATAGTGTTGTCTCACAACTTCGATAACGTTTCAAATAAGACGATTAAGGTAAACACAGGGATAAGTCAAACAGTGGAAAATACGATTTCGACAAGTTGGACCAAACGCAAAGAGACGACGGTTTCACAGGAAATTTAATATGATATGATGTTTGCGAAGATAATGGGCATGACTGGTTTCTCATATACAACTAGTTGGGGCGAAAGTGAAGAGCGATCTGAAACTATTGCGATTGAAACCACAAGTGGTGTTGAAACGGAACTGTTGCCTGGGCAGGCGGCGACCGCGGTACTGTCAGCAAATAAAGGTGCTTTAGAGGTAGAAGTCGTATACTTGGCAAAATTAAGAGGGAACGTAGCTGTGAACTTTAAAATTCCTTATAAGGGTCACCATTTCTGGGGTCCATCGATAGATAGTGTGATGAAGAGTGGTGGATTAGAAAATGAAGTGATTATAAAAGAAACTATCAAGTTAGGTTTCTACACGGATGCATCTTGAAAGGTATATGATTAAATATCTGGACTGCCATTGTAACAGCAATGACCACGGTGTGGTGTTTGGAAATCGTTGTTATGGTTTCAACATTTGAAAGACTTTTTAATATATTATCTCCGTTAAAAGGCGTTTTGAGGTCCGTAGAGTTCACTTCTACTATTTCCAAAAATATCTCTCTGTGAGTGTCTGTGCTTGTTTGCGCATAATTGTTACGCATAAAAGTTAGTGAATTCACTAATTAAAAAAGTAAGTAAATAAAATTTTTTTTTTAATTGGAAATAGAACATTCATGGGAAGTTGATGGTGTAGCCTGACTGAATCGAACCGACGCCCATATTTATTCAAGATGTTAACGGCTATTCGGTATAATTTTCTACTAGCAAGCAAATTTTTTATATAATAAAGGTGACAAACGGCGGCCACGAAGACTATCCATCGATGCAGGACAGGATTATAGTACCCAAATGTATGCGCAAGCACAGGTGCACTCTCTATTCCCTTACTCTCATAACCCGATGGGATGGTACACTGACACGACCGGAGAGAGATCAGGCGCAGGACCAACGGCTTTACGTGCTTTCCGAGGCACGGGAATGAGACACCGCCAACTTACTAACTGCGGGCAGATACTGAGAAATTCTTGATGGAAAAACTCGATAACTGATAGTTTTTGCCCGACCCGGGATTCGAACCCGGGACCTCGTGATCAGCAGTCACACTACTACAACCACTAGACCAACGAGGCAGTCAGTGACAGAAATAGGTACTAGGCTCAACCTACGCAGATGGCCTCCTGTGCCGAAATAGAGTCATACCATCTATGAAAGTGTATAGGGCTTATTAAGAGTTATGTCTTAATTGATGTTACGCTTTATACGTCATCAATATTATTACAGCTCTTCACAAGTCCACTGCTGAACATAGTCCTCTCCCAGGGAATGACACAAAGCACGGTTCTGAGCCACCTGCATCCATTGATTTCCTGCATGTCTTAACAGGTCGTCACTCAATCTAGTGTGGGGACATCCTACACTGCGCCTACCGGTACAAAGCTGCCACACCCGTATATTTTTTCCACATCGGTTATCGGTTCTTCGAGCTATATGGCCGGCCCATTGCCACTTTAGCTTACTAATCCGTAGGTCTGGTTCTACTGCGGATATCCTCATTTCTAAGTTTATCACAGCAGAGAATCCCCGAGCATAGCTCTCTCCAAAACTCGCTGAGTGACTAGCGTTCTCATACGGCCAGCAGCATTGTACGTAGTACATACATAAACTTTGGAACACCCTCCCTAATGATATTAAGAATGCCACAAATAAAAAACTCTTGGAAGTTCTTCTACGACAACATTACCTGATGGCAACTACTAATTGACATTATTTTCCTTTATTCTTTTCTTTTTCCTTTTACTTCAAATATTTATGAAATAAACTATATACATATTTTTAAAACATTATATATATATATATATATATATATATATATATATATATAAATAAAATAAACTCACACGCCCGTCACCTAGAGAGGTAGGCAGAGACTACGGACTTCTATTTGGTACGATCCTGACACACATCTCTCCCTTCCTTTAGTACTTTCTTTTAGTACTTAGTTTAGTACTTCTAATCTGCCTCGTTTACGCCACTTTGGTCAATAAAATTTCATCTAGGACGTGCCTTAATGACTCTACCGCTCACATCTGCAATATTAATTTGCTTTGTCACTCTTTACTCCTTCATTCTTTCTACATAACCAAACTACTGAAGGATTCCTTTCCTAATCCTGGTCACAACATCATCTTGCAAACAAATTCTCACCCTGTCATTCAGATTCAGCCCCAGCATACTTTTTATACATATTTTATATCCGCTACGTATAGTATTCTATTGATACTTAGTGTGTATATGGTTATTTCTGTAATTTTCTATGTATCTGCCTTTGTACTGTTACCTATCACTACCCGTAGGTTGACTGGCAGATAATGCTTTTAGCATTAAGTCCGCCTTTTGAACCTGCGCTGCCGAAAAAATACGCCCCACAGCTGGGCATACCTCTCCTGTCATTCCTGAGAGCGCTGCAGGGCAACGAAATGACTCCAATTCAGGTTGGCGAATTGCATATATCTTCGAAATATATTTTTTAATTTCTCAAATTTGCAGATTCAATCACGATGTTTTTCTTTAAAGCCGATTATTATCGAATTTAAGATAAATAACGACTGGTAACGAATATAGGTTCATAGGGATCGAACCCGGGTTAACCGCGTTCACGTACTGTGAACTTTACAGCG